ATATCAGATACCTAACCAAATAATTAAACATATCTGAGATAAATATAAAAATGACGTTTGCTTACATTACTTGTCATGAATGTGGAGAACTAGTTAGCTTTAGAGAATATGGCAGTTATTGCCCATCTCATAGACTAGATGCAAATGGGTGTTGCAGAAATCATTGTTTGATTGATGAAGAGGGAGGGCATTGTATTCATTGTACCCCCAATCAATCATCAATCCACTGCGGATTTTGTGGACGTGCCAGTTTAGAAACAATTTGTGAAGCCTGCAATGAGAGTGAGGCCTCCTATGATGATATCCCTGATTTAATTGAGGAGGATGACTCAGTGGAGCAACAAGTTGAAAATTTTCATGGATTCTACCAGTTTATTGCTCCTACAAGAGAAGAGCAAATGGAAAGGCTATCAACACTTAACATTCAGCTTTGTGAGGAATGCCAGATGCCTTGTGAAAATATTCGGTGCAAGGATTGTCAGATTTAACCTTGTTCAGCTAAAAGTTTCTTAATGATTTTTATAGCCTCTTTCTTCTTCTTGGCCTTCTCTTTTTTTTCTTTAGCTTCAGCAATTTCTGCTGGGGTTTTCTTTTTAACTGTACCATCCTTAGAAACAAAAGTATGCTTTTTAGTACCACAAACCTTACATATACTAATTAACCGCATTCGACCAGTTGTTGTGGGTTCTAATTTTTCGGATGAACTCACTGTTTTATCCCGGCACTTCACACAGTAGGTTAAGCTTGTAGTAGGCATCTTGTTTTGAATATAAGAACTTTAACTTTAATTTAGAATGCCAACTCCAGTTGAGCAATACTACAAATATTTTTCATTATCGCATATACCTCCAGAGTTATTAAAAAATGAGGAACACGCAAATCTCTATCTTAAGCCTCCAAAGGAAAAGAGATCTGAACGCCCAAAAGTTATAGTTTGGAAAAATAATGCTACTCAACAAGCTGATTTGGGTGAGATGCCTATTGATCCAAAAGGATACCATTATTTTCTTGTACTTGTAGAACTTGCAAGCCGAAGAGTAGATGGAGAACCGCTTGAAAATAAGACCTCAAAAGCTGTTTTTAATGGATTTATTAGAATTTATCAAAGAGGGCGGATAAAACCACCAATCACCAGATTAGAGGTCGATAGTGGCAAGGAGTTTGATAACCATTTAATACGCAATTTTTTCATAAATACTATAGGTGTACTCATAAGATTTGGCGAGACAGGAAGACATCGACAGCAAAGCTTTGCTGAGAAAGCTATCCAGGCTATACAGGAACCCCTCATTCAGCGAATGACTGCACAGGAAATGAAAACTGGCATGACTTCCATAGAATGGTCTGAAGATTTCCATACTATAGTAGATAGGGTTGATGAATTATGGCAACGCAATCCTCCAACAATCCCAGAAGGCTTTCCCAAAATCGATAAAAACACTGAACTTCTCTCAGAAGGCACTAGAGTACGAGTAAGATTAGAAGAGCCCATATCTATATTGGGGAAAAAATTACATGGTAAATTCCGCACAGGTGATATTAAATGGAATCCAGAAATTCGGGTAATAAGAAAACTTATGTTGAGCCCAGATCAACCTCCCACTTATCTCCTTGATGGCCCTCATGGAAATTTAAAAGTATCTCGTTGTGCATATACTAGAAAAGAGCTCCAAGTAGTTCCAGATAATGAGAATCCTCCACCAGATTCTGTTATTAGAGGTAATCCAGAACGATATATTCCAGAAAAAATTCTCAAATCACGCAACCGCAAAGGACATAGTAATAGGGAATATCTAGTCAAATGGAAGTATTACCCTGAAAATCAAGCTACTTGGGAACCTGCTGATAAATTGCAAGAAGACGTTCCAGATTTAGTAAATAAATATTTGACAGGAGCATAAAAAAATAAAGTGCTCCATATTTTTTATTGACCAAAATCTAGCATTCTTCAATTTTTGATCTATTTTTATCTGGCACAATGGGAATGAAGTAATTTTTTTCATTGCAGGTAATTGCTACATGATCTCTAGATTCATGTATATCATAATTATAGCGCCTAAGACAATTCCTGCTTAATGCGATCTCTCGATAAGGATAATTATCAACTATAGCAAAATCCTCCTCTATAACACATCCTGGAGCCAAAGTTACCAAACAATTTCTTACCATTCCTAGTGTTCTTTTTTCTCCTGATGCACCAGTAAGTTTACATATCTTGCTAGTATCAATTTTTAAATCCAATTCTTCCTGAACTTGCTTTGGCATAAAGGAAACATTAGCACAAGTATCTAGAAGAGCTTGAATTTTCGAACCATTCACAATTCCTTCTACTGCCACAAGGTCTTTGGTATTTTCAATTCTTATGAGATCAATATCCATAAGATCTAAATCATCATCTGGCTGTACATTGCCGTTGCTAGTCTCTGGTAGTGGCAAAAGTGGAGCTTTGAGTCCCACATTTTTTTTCTTGGTCATGCTAGCTCTGCTGACTTTCTCTTTTGCTGGCAATACATTTAAAAATCCTAACTGAGCCAATTCCTTCTGAACAATGCTACGAATAATTTTTTCCAAATTTATAATCTCTGGCAAAGAAGCATTTTTCTGTATAGCTGGCTTCTTCGTGGAAACCTTTTTTACTGCACTCTTGGTTTTGGTATCTTTAGTAGCAGATTTTGAATTACTCAACAAGGAATCTTCAGTGGATTTTACTTTTTTTTTCGAACTGCACAAATGGTATACTCATCATCCAAATCTAAGATATCATCAAAAGAGACAATGTCTTGAGTCCCTGACTTATGTAATAAATTGGAAGTATTTATAGATTCTTCACCATTAATATTGAGCTTACCAAGATCACCAGAAAGAACGTTATCAATATAATTATCAAGTTGCTTATTTTTAGTTTGTTCTCTACGTTCAGCAAATCTTTGTGCAACTGCCAAATCTATCGGCTTAAGATCTGCTTGACGGAGTTCTCTTCCAACTTCTTGAAAATCAATATTGCTTAAATAATTCTTTTTACGATCTTCTCTCATTTGTTGTAGAACCTCTTCTATTCTTCCACGACGAGATTCCCTGCTTTCTAAAGGTGTTGGCTGTTGTATAGGTACTGGATGTACAATCTCTTTTTGAAATGTCCGAAGTTGATTCTGGAAATTATGCATAATTTTTTCAGTATGAGCCTTAAACATTTGATCCAACTGCTCTTGTGAAATTCCCAAAGTTGCAGGCTTCATTATCACAGGCTCCTGCTGTGATATAGAAGGCATTTGTACAGGAGTTATGGTACGTGTTGGAGATTCAGAGCTATGCTTCTCCCGAATTATAGCTTTTTTAGTATCTCTATTGGACAAACCCAAGCGCATTTCAGCTTTCCTTTTTTCAACTCTCCTTAAGGAATCAACCATTTCATTTAATGGCTTATTAGATCCAATTCTATCTGCCTCGAGCATGTTTTCTGGAGATAAACCTCTAAAGAATTGATTTTCAACAACATCATTGCCGAAATTAAGTAGCCGACCAAACTTTTGTACTTTTTTGTAAAAGACATCAACTGGATCATTTTCTTGAGCAAGATTTCCAAATCGTACTTCACGCTGTTCCTGCAATATCGTAGGATAATTATTTCTAAACCAGTCAACTGCATCTCCAATTCGAATTTCTGGCAATACTATAGGATTAGCATTTCCAATAGCAATAACAGTAGTAGGTTCATTTGTAGGTTGTCCACCAATATCTCTCCAGTTTTGAACCAGACCATAAGCTGGAAGTAACCCACTATTTGCTAATGTAGTTGCATTATTAGCTGGGGTGGTAGCATAAGTATATGCTCTGCTTGGATTTCTAAAGCTATTAGAAGCAACTAACTCTTGCATAGTCCGGCCTACAACACCTGCCCAATCCGCTTGACCATGATTATTAAATAAATTGTTCAATCGCCAACGTTTTCCAGTAAGTTGCTCATCAAACCAAACGGCCGCCGGTCCTTTCATACATGCTCTGAAAAGGCCCAAGGCTCTTTGACTTCCAGATGGAGGACCACCTGCCATATCTGCAGGATTAATACCAAGACCGGCTAAATATCCTGCAAAAAGATCAATAAATTGTTCAACATCTTCTTCAGGTTCCCCTGAAAATATGGGCATTCCTACTGTAACAGTAACCATACTTGATTAACTGGCTGTGGGGGTAATCTCTGTATGTTATTAAATCTAACTTCCAAATCTTTAAATCGACGTTTCCATTTTCCCCACTTTGTATCAAGCTGAAGATCGCTAAGAAGTAAATCATTTTTACACATATCCAGTTGTAGTTGTAAATTCCGATATCTTCGAAGTATAAACCGAAATGCGAATTTTTCTTGAAGCAATTCAGATATACGTTTTTCCCTTTCTATACAGGTTGCATTCTGGAAATGGTAAAGTAATTTGCAGGACCGGTAATTCTGATAAAGAACACCATAGTTAGTTTGGATTGTATTCAACTGGGTTTCTAAATTAACTACTCGTCCTTCAGCAAGAACCGCGCGATTGTTTAATCTATTAATTAATTGATTATCCTGGGGACTTGAAGTTCGTGCTATTGTTTGTAATGCTTCTGATGCTTCCACAATCAATCGAAGTTTTATTAAAACATCGTTCGGACGTAAAGATGATATATGAGGCGTTTGGATATATACTCTAATGTTATCAACCTCTCGGCTTATTTTATTAAATGCGTTCGAAATATTCCCATTTCTAGATGATTGCGCCATAGCTATTAAGCATATAAACTTATATTTTTAATTTGTTATATTAATATGGATTACTTTATATACAATATCGATGAATACCAGCCATTAGAAGGTTGTAATAAATTTGCGCCAACATGGCCATTCCGAATCGCTACAGTAGGAAGCTCTGATTCTGGTAAAACTACTATGTCCATGAATCTCCTTATGGGTACTAAAAAAATGAAGGAAGATGGTGAACGATATATTCCTTGTAATGATATTGTTTTGATCGGCAAACATTTAAATGAGCCGAAATGGAAAATCGTCGAAGATTTCTATAACGAGTTAGCTGAAGAAGGGGAGGACGTATCTTTCAAATCGTATAATCCAGAAGAAATGCCTACTGTGTCAGATTTCGACCCAGCTAGATCAACCATTGTAATATTTGAAGATCTTTTAAATGAATCGAAAAAAATACAAGATCTTATCGCATCGTATTTCACTCATGGAAGGCATAATAATATTAGTTCGATTTATGTAACCCAGCGATTTTTTAAAATTCCCAAGACTATCCGGGAAAATATTACTTATATTTCGTTACATAGAGGAGGGGGGAGTTTAAGTGATATTAAAAGAATTATTAGCCAATATACTGAGCATTCTGATAGTCTTGCACCGATAATCGATGATCTTACATTGAAAAAGGAATTTATCATATTCGATTTGAGAAGATCTAGAAGCGATCCATTATCGATCAGGGTTCGGTGGGACAACAGTCTTAGATCGATCTTAGATAAATCTCAGATTGAAACAGGATCAATTAATATTACATCTTCTTCAGAGCCTTTAAGTAGGCATGAAGTGCCATTTCTCCGAAATAAATTTAGCTCCTATGGCCAGAATGCTATAACACAAGCAAAAAAGAATGATTCATTAATAGAATTTGCTAGAAAAATGCCTGTTCCAAGAGAACGTAATCTTTTATTAGCTAAAGGAGTAAATGTTAAAAATAATGATATATGGGCTAGATACGTTTTTCGAGAAGCATATGGCATAGTTGGTAAAGATCTCGGTTCTGAATGGCAGGATTTTGTTAAAAGAATTAAGAACGAACACGTTCCTTCTTCCAGTAAAAATAGAGTTGGAAACACGGAGCCTTGCTCCAAAAATTTTCAATACTTGCGATATAAAAAAATATTAGAATTACGCCCGCTTGATGATAAAAAATTTATCGAAGGTTGTGAGATCCTTCTTTGGCTTTTCTCAAATAACCATATGGACCGACGTACTTTTCTGGTCGGGATTAAGGAATTAAGCAGTCCATAGGACCTAATCACTTGAAGCCAGAAATGCTTGCTCCTCCCATTCCCTCATATTTTGATTTTTTGCTTCCTCGGTTTTCAAAAACGTATTATCTTTACAGACAATGATATAATGTATAAGGTACATTATTTTTTGATTAATAAGCACCTTAAGTTCCGACATAATCGGCATGGAATGGTCCAAATCGGAATTCAAATCCAATTTATTTAGCAAATCATCCCTCCTATTCTTATAATCAGTAATTAGCGCTTCTAGCTCATCTATCTTGTTCAGATTTAGAGCGGAAATGAAATCAACCGCGCGTCTCAAATTTTGTTTACTCAGCAATTCGTCGATAATTTTCTTACGATTAATATAAAGCTGGCGTCGAGCCTCTAAACGCCAAGTGCGATTAACTCTGGAAACTGTACACTGGCTCTTTATGGGTAAATAGCTGATAATTTTTCCGACTAGCTCAGGGATATCAAATACCTTATGCATTTTTTTACTAATATACCTATTACCTCGGATTAATTCAATTCGAATTTTTGATATTAAACAAAAAATAAAATAATTCATTAGAGCTTCTAGTTCATTACATTTTTCCGGAAAATTTTGGTTAAGTCATCGTTTGATGCATATATCATTATAGTACACTTTGGCTTCTCATCATGCATTACCTTTTTCATTTCCGTTTTTAAGCCTAAAGCAGATAACGCGCGCGATACTCGATTTTTATTCATAGGATTATGAACATTTCCAGCGTAATTCTGATAAAATTCATTGAAAGCTTCATTTATACCAGAGGCGTGATACTCCGATTGTAAGAATTTATATAATCCCATTTCTTCACCATCTTGATTATTGATAAAGCCAAGTATCCAAATTCTAATATGATCAATATCGTTAGCAGGAGGAACATAGTTTGTAGCACCCAACTGGTGACGACTATCAATCATTGTTTCGAGGTTGTTTAAAAATTTATCCGCGAATTCTTTCACTTTATACTCAGATCTAATAAATCGGGTTAAGTAATCCTTAGATTCGATAAGCGTATTTAAATCTGTAATACTATTTACGTAGCGACGAAATTCGACAGAAGAAAGTCTGACTTTTGGTTTGCCAACTATATGGCCACAAGTTACGCATTTTGTTTTGGTAGCAGTTTGCATCGATATTTTTGGGAATAGTTTATATAAGAAATGGATTTATTCAATTGCACTTTTCTCTCTCAGATTCGAAAAAAAAAATAACTGCTTATTATCAACTCCTTACTAACTACGTATTTCTGGCTTCGAACAATTATTGCGAGAAGGCGGTGGGATACACTCGTCGCAATATTTACCTTGTTCTAGGTTTATAGCAATAAAGCATTCTCGACATAATGTGATATTGAGATTTGCAAGCTTCTCTCCGTGTATAGCCATAATTCGTTCGTGGGTTGGGAGAGGATCTTGAGCTTCATTAGCATCGTCGGAAATTACTTCTGGTGGAACTAAATAATAATCGTTTTCTATATCCCATCCAGCATTAAGCAATTCATAGTATCTCCTTCCGCCAGCGGTAACTCGGCGGTGTGTTATAGTATTAAAGTAATAATGTCTTGGTCCAGGTGGAGGAGCGTTTGCCCTTCTAACTAATTCCCCATTGAAATAATCGTATCGCTCATCGATTAATTGATAGAAACGAACTCCTCCGACACGAATTTGCCGTCCGGTTTCTGGATTAATAACATACCTATTTGCGTCCATTTTATTTTTATAGATATATTGGGAAAATATTTATTCAATTGGAAAATTACATTGTATTTTTAAGTTACATTGCATTTTTAAGTTTGCATTTTTAAATTACATTGCATTTTTAAGTTTGCATTTTTAAATTACATTGCATTTTTAAGTTACATTGCATTTTTAAATTACATTGCGGTTAGTTATATATAAAAAAAAATAGAATATCGATTAATAATTTAGGAAGCAAAGCTTCGAGTCGTAGACTCTAGCCATACTACTTGGTTAGCATTTTTTACTAGGACTTTACCTTCTTTCTCGAATTTAAGAGATTTCAAAGTTTTTGAAGCGCCTTCCAAACAATCAATAAGGTGAGAATTTTCGGGATCTTCTGATAATATAAATCCATCAGTATGAACGCGTTTAACTTTCTCCTTATATGGCTCAATTGTTTCAGAAATAATTTTACGACCTTGTGCTATAATAAATGGTGCAATTCTGGGATACTCACCCTTGAATAAGTTTCCAGGATTAGAAAATTGGCATACCCAGGATGTGGACATCATTTCCCCGGAAATATGAGCATGGCCTGTAGGTGTTATTGAATCGAGAACTTCTCCTTCCGGAAATTCGAAAGGCTTGGAAGAATGTTCGGCATCAGATATGTCATGATATGATTTATTTCTTTGACATAATGCTCCCCATAAGGTATTGAGAATTTTTTTCGCTACTCGTCCAGCAATTCCGCCAATATTCTTTAACTTGAAGAGAAAATGTACATATTCTCCAAATATAACTTTACCCGGAATTCTCGTTTCCTTTTCATAAACCAGCGCGTTTGGAGAACCATCCTGAATTAATGTAACTTGAAGACCTAATTTTCTGGCACGAGTTAAATCGATGTGAGTATACTTATTGCGTTTATTATAACGAAACAAGCATTTTACGTCCTCTCTAAATTCCACAGTAGCGCGAAATGTTCCATATAAAATATAGCCCCTAAAGTTTACAAAATCTTGAAGCATCTGGAATTTCCCTTTAGATATTGGGAATGTTAGCGTCGATTGCATAATACTGGGATAAAGACTTGTTTCATCATATTGTCTGCCATATCCTTGCCAATTGTTATCAGCCCATATAATTCCACCCATCATTGCATCGGAAATCCATTTAGCTTCCATGGGATCTAATGGTTCATTGGCTGGAATAGCCTGGCTTAATCGTTCAAAGAGCCATAATGCAACTTTTTTATAATTACCATGACACATAAAGAGATCGATTGTTAGGCCGAGTTTTTTGGATTCTTCCAATAGAACATTACGCTCTTCATGTATTCTTTCAAAAGCTTCCTCCAATGTCTCGCTTTTAGAAACCGGGATGAAGCACCATTTTCCATAGACAGACTTGGATTGGAGCTTTCTCATCTCCGGTACTGCAATGGATCGAATTGATTTGCCGTTATAAATTTTTACAATATTATTTATACCATCTTCTTGATAAGTTATAGGTAATTTTGGTTTAGCAGTACCAGGGTCAGTTTGTCTTCGATCTGGATTTGGTACAAGAGAATAATGTCCATTGGCAAGGGTAAGAGTAATTTGTCGGTGGGCTGGACTTTTGGAAATTCGATTTATGTCACCAGTGATGTTAATAGCAATAGATCTAGCCAAACGCTCTACTTCTTCAATAAGATGTACTGGAACTGGAGCATTTCTTTTTAAACCTAATGCTTTCTTCAGAATATCAGGTTTTTCGATAACCTTTGGCATATTTGAAAACGTTCCGTAGGCATGATACAAACATTGGTAGAGACAGTCATTCAAACCATTATCTCTCTTTGAATCAGAAGCAGAGCTTCCACCACAGCCACCTGCTAATGCCACGGGATCAGTAACATAAATAATGAATTGATCATACGATTCGGGATCTCCTCCTCCTTCTGGAATTTGCGATTCATCATAATGATCTGATAACGTGAATAATGATACTTCTTGATGACTTTCAAACCATGAGCCAGGTTTCCAACTCTCATAGGGAAGAAGAACTTGGAATCTTTTATTCGGATGTCTGGCTCTAATCCATTCGATTTCACGATTAATTCTACTTCGGGAGAAGTTGCTACCAGTAACTTTGATTTCGGAAATATTTTGCCGAGTTGGTAATTTTCGGAGTTTTCTGATAGTTGGCATTTTTATAATACAGTAATAGGTATATTTATTCAAATACCTTTTTTCTCTCAGGTTCGAAAAAAGAAATATAGTTAACTACTTATTATCAACTCCCTGCTAACTATATTTTTCTGGCTTCGAGAAATTATTGCAAGAAGGCAGGTTACAGAGAATTTTTTAATTCGTTTTCCCATTCCTCATCCGGTTCTGAGAAATCTTCGTCTTCTGCAAGTTCACACTCTTTTATATTTATGAGAGCCTCATCCCGCAGATTTTTAACTGAGACTGTTTTATAATTTTCCGGAGGGGAAACAATTATCTGTCCTCTCTTATTGAGGTACTCGGCTATCTTGGATGCAATTTCTTGATTACTAAGACCATTTAATTGACCTCTGAATGCTTGTATGAACATACGAAGTCTGTAATGCCATGGATCTTTTTTGTAGTCATAACAATCATGATTTGAGAGGTCTTCTATTTCACAAATAAAGCATTCCCATTCAAAATCTTCGGGATCGTTACTGCAAGATTCCCAAATTGATTTTGCTCTTTTATACATATCTTCAAAATAATCATCTTTATATATAATCTTAGAATTAGAAGGGCCAGGAATTCCGCATGGCTCTATACCATTTATACCAGAGGCATGATGCTCCGCATCTTGGGATGTTATTTTCTCCGAAATCTCTTTATTTTTTACCCGAAGATTGGCTGGCTTTGGAGGAATTGGTGGTGGAACTTTTTTAGGAATATTCGTCTCTAAGGATGAATGAGGCTCCGCTTCTTCCTCTGCCGGGAGAATTTCTGGATTGTCAGCAGATGAGTTGGAAACTTGAAGCTTTGCTTCTTGATAATTATCTGGCTCATCAATGTTCTCATCCTCATCAATCATATTTTTCTTCCAGAATATTGTATAGAGACTTTCATATGATGCTTCATACCATTGAGCTCTCTTATTATTTTTTCGGTCCCCGATTCTTTTCGGTTTAGGCTTTAATCCCAATTCTTTTAATGCGTAACTAAATTCTTGCATAGTAGGAGGTTTTTTTCCTTGAGTATGGGATTGAATTATAAACCAATCTTTGAATGTATTGTAAAGATATGAAGATGATTCATCAAGACTAAAAGATTTACATACATATTTCTGCTTTATAAACTCGTGAACCACATTATAATCCCTAGTTACCATCATGAGCTTAGTTTTGGTCATAGGAATTTTTCGCTCGTTGAAATCGGGATTAAGTTTAACATATTCCAATGCATAAGAGTAAAAGGCTTTGCCGACTTCTGGATTTTTTATAGCTTTATCTAATGGGGCGTAATAATGATCCATTCCAATTCCGTTTTCGACATACTTATCAGAGATATCCGGAATAAAATATCTTCGGTCAGCTCTATCTAAACGGATTGTTTTACTATTATTACTATTGATGATTAAATTTGTAATATTAGTAACTGGATATGGCGTTCTATATTTTTCTTCTATCATTAATGTGTCGCTATCAATAAAGTCTTTAAGCCGGTTAGCAAATGTTATCCAGTCTGTGGATTTGGAATTAGACATTTCTTCAAGAATAAGTAAGACCTTGCCTTCTAGCTCTTTGTTAAACTGACCGGTGATAACTCTCTCATTGGCAGTTTTCACAGTAATATTAGGACCGAGAACCATGTGTCGAAGAAACCATGTAAGCATCGTTTTACCTGTTCCCGGACCTGAAAAGAGAAACATTGTTTTCTGCATCTTTTGGCCGATGGCTATTCGCATAATTAATCCCATCATATATAGCTCTTGTTTTTTAACAGAAGAACAGAGAACTTCTCGCATATGATTAAGAACTAGCTTTACCTGATCGCGGATTTCCTTGCTAAATTCCTGAAACGGAGGCGGGTTGGGGTGAAGAAATCCTTGGAATAAATTAATGTAATATGCTCCATTTGGCTCTCGGTAAATTTTAGGCTGGGCAGGGTTAACTTCAAGAGAGAAGAATGGTGTATCTCTAAAGAACCATGACGTAATACTAAAACTTTCGATTTCTTCTCCTTTGGCGTTTTTGAATTGTACGCAATCGGATTGAATAAAAGAATCACATGCGTCCTTTTTACTGTAATATTTGAAGAATTGTTTTTTAGGCATCCATTTATAAACACCTATATCTCCACGCGCAAAATAGCTACATAAATATCTTTTAGCATGGAAGAGTTCCTTATGAGATTTAGCCGAATAAAAGAGCTTTCTAAATTCCCGGCTATCGAATTCTTGAGTAGGAATACCTAATACAAATTTTGATTGAGTTTGTATGCTC